CGAGGCAAGGGATCATTTTGACAACTGATATGACACGTAATAGGACGTACAGGCTTTCTGCTACACTGCTACACTGATGATCCCTTTAGATTTAAACATTCCGGGTGCATTCCGCTTTTATTAAAGACTTGACTTGGTTCTCATCGGCATTTGAGGGATTTTTTAACCGTTCTTTATCTTTATAATTTTTAAAAAATTATTATTATCATTTATTTATTTTATTTTATTTTATTCTAGTTTTCAAATTTCCAGGCATTTTTCGATAAGAAAGGCGGTAAACAGCGAGGCAAATTTATCCTATGGTACACCATTGCTGGACACCCCAATTTCTCCCCATTTCCAAACTTTTTAGGATTCTCAAGAGTCAACAATTATCGAGATATAATATTTRATAGAAACTTTATTATATTATTCTATAGATTTATAAGATATTTATAAGTCCAGTTGATCTAGTTACTTATACATTCCTTTTCATTCTTGATAGACGACACTTGAGCAAGTGTTTTCAGTATTTAAATCTGGTTACGATATTGGCATTCTTGTTTGTTCTTCGTCATAAGATGCCTTGAATTGATTCATTTTATTCTAAACAAACAGAAGGGTAAAAATARATATTAAAATAAAGTTATAAGCTGTTTCAAAAATGGTTGAATGGACGAAAAGTGAAGGGTTATCAGTGGCGATTGACGATTGCACAGCCAAAAGATCTTGGCAAGTGGTATGGTATCATCCTCTGAGATGAAAGGAGCGGAATCATCGTGATACAGAAATCATGAACCTCGCCTTCCAAATCATCGTCAGTAACCCAAAACATTCTGTCTCTCGTGAGGATACTTCCAAATGAAAACCAATCATGAATCTCCGTGGTTTAATTTTAAGAAAAATAAATTTCTGTTTTTGATAATCCGGAATCATGGATCACCCCCAAAATCGTATGAAGAATCACAAATGAGAGCTGAAAACGTTATAGCAATCGTAAAATCACCGAGCGACTTAAAAGACTAATCCGCTTCTACCCTGAAATCACTCTTAGTGTCTGTGGTTGGCCTCGTAACTACTGGTAATATTATAGAATTAAAAAGCACCTTTCTCATAATTATAAATCGAGAACGAAACATAGGACTCGGAAAAGAATTAGAAAAAAAGGCAATTATTTTTAATCTTCCTTGCGTCTTTCTCTGAACAATATGGAAACAAAAGTATGTTTTAAAAACAATTTGTGATAAAAAAGATGATCAAGTGGCATACCTTTTTGCTGAGATRCTTTACTGCGTCAGATCTCATTCCAAGTTTCCTAAGACAACAACTGATGGATTGACAGCCATGACACATCCCTGTCCCTATTGCAAGACCGTCCTGCTTGAAGTATGTAGCGATCAGAAGGAATAAGAAAACTTGCCTGAGACTCACCATCTTGGCTGATGAAGGCAGTGTATGGTGGACAGTCCTCGGCAGTCGTTATTTATAGCGGGACGTTCAACGTTGTTTTATGGTTACCAAACGCGTGCATAATTAATTGTAATGGCTGGTGTTAGTCGATTTGACTATAGAAGGCTACGATCTTGCTTAAGCGTTTTTACTTAATCATTTTAAACGTTAATCGAATGTTGTCTGGTTTTTATGAAGTGCTTACAAAGGTTAGGCTTCCCTCGCCTTTCTTCGTAACAGTCACGAATCACTGATTACGAAATACCATGGCGTTCATAAGCGGATATCTTTGATCGTCACTTAGTCTAGTACAGCTGCCGGTAGTTGTAGGTTGTATCGCTGCATTAGTAGTTCCAAGACGCCTCTATCGGTTGCTGCGGGGATAATTGGCTGGAATTGCTACGCCTCATCATGGTTTTCCCTTATTTAATTGAGCAATAAGATCAGGAACTTTCGCTCTCGCCATTTTTACAATTTGAAGTATGTAACGTAAAAAGCCATGTCCTGTCCATACGCACTGAAAGGGTTAGATGTATCTAGAGTTATCAATCTGGCTTTCACAGCGTATACCCGGAGGGAAGTCTGGGGTTGGGTATTGGAGGTATTGGGTGGCTTGTGTAAAAGTCAGCGACTTGGAATATTTTGGGGTGTAAATTAAAATTGAAATTTAGAATTTTGCCATTTTAAGATATTAGGGTATCGAAAAAAATTTTTTTTAATATTCTTTATTTCAATTCCCACGAGCATTTTTCCGATACTTTAACCCAAGTCCTCCCCCTGTCCCCTCCCCTGTATAGCTGCCGGTTGAATATAAATCTTTAAAATTTGTTTCCCTGGCGTGCACGACGAGCTAGTGGCAAGAAAACACAAGAATCGTAGGATCACGTCACGAAGTGGAAAGCTGTTTCTTATCTCTTTCATAAAATAATAAGCTCACAAATTTTTAAAAAATCGCGGAAAAACAAATGATGTTAACATTTTAGATACTCTTATTGGCTAAAATGACATTCCCATATATCATAGCGAGCGTTAGAACTCAGTTATTTGATAATTCTCTTGTGTCTATGTCTTATTTAATTTCATCTACCTGTAATAAGGTCTAGTTACGATACCTAGAACGCACAGTGTCTTATTTTCCTGTGTTAGGTCTTTCCATAAATGAAAGGGCTATGGTTCAGTAGCGTAGCAAAAGGCATTTAAGCTCAGTAAAGAGGATGACGGGATAGGGGGTCAACTGTTTACTGAACAGTTGTCATTGTTGGACAATATTGGAAAATGATAAACAAAAACAGTTTTTAAACGATTCTTTGTTTTATCATTTCAAAAACCCGCGTTTTTTTTCTAGCACCATCTCCACTCAGAAAGTACGGTTTGCAACTAATCGTCAGTATCGCAAAAAATGCTTGCACGAATCGTTAAGTGCTTATCCACTCATTTACTCGAGAAAGCTTATTTTTAATAGCAGTTGTTTTCGTAGAGAACGCACGTCTTCAGTAATTGGCCATTTTATCTAGACATCAAAGTGTCTGTATTAATTATATTTGCTCATTTAATTGCACTTAGATAAGAGAGAGAACATAAAAAATGAGTAGGTGAATTGCTAGTAATAGCTCTTAAAGATTCGCCGCTTTTCAAGTTAAGAATCCGGCGTAATTAATTGTAGATTAAGGCAGCCATGTTTATTAAGATCGGAGCTTTTGAACTTGTCAGTTGATTATTGCTTCAAGTTTATTAGTGCTTGTTTCTATGTATTATTATCCTATTCAAATAAAGTGGATATTATTGTTATTATTACAATCAGGTTCCATTTTGAATTGGGGAGTAATGTGCATACGTGTCGTGGAAACTGTGGCTTTATCTAGAGGATCATCACCGCGAAATGGTATTAAATTCCAGTTATGCACAATTTTGCCGTGAAAACAATGAAAAAACAAAAAGAGGATCAAGTTTCGCGTGTTTCACTGAAATAAGAAAGTATAATTGAAAGTATAAGTGCGAAATCGCTATTTATTTTTTACCAAAAAAAAGTTCAAATTAAATTTTTTTTTTTTTTAACATTGAGTCCTATTTTACCGCATATAAAACATTACAATAAAATATATACAGACAAAAAATAGAACATATATGAAAAAGCAAAGTTTCAAAGTGTACTAAAGCGTCGTTATCAAGACTGAAATTAATGGAAAAAATAACTTCATATTCTCTACGTCATATCGCACTGCATTCCACGCGAGATGATTTAATGTTAGTTGCCAAACCGGTGTGATGAAGAATATCGAACCTGGTAGAGTGAAACCCCGTTAATCCGGCCACCGAAGGGACATTCCAAAGTGGTCGTATTAACGGGGTGGCCGTATTAAGCGGGCTGTAGAAAATATGTGTTTTATTGATCAGTACGAAACTATACTAAACAAATTAAGTCAGAAATATTGCATATTGTATTTTTAAATAATGTTTCTAAAACTTCTGATGCTATTGGAGCTCAGTTATAACTCACATTCAACAACTACGTGTTTCTCTGTTTGAAGTTGGTGTGTTGATTCTACAAAAAACATAACTGTAATATGTTAACCGAATGAATAAAAGAATTACAGATTTCAATTTGCAGCAATAAATTTACAGTATTTACATTAAGATCTAAGCTGTAACCTATATGTCCTGGCCGTAATACGGGGTTAAAAAGTATGGAAGTTTGTCAATGGGGCCACAAAAAAAGTGGCCGTTGGCCGTATGAAGCGGGTACATTTTACAGTAAATGTATGGGCATTTCGTCGGGACCCAAAAGAACTGACCGCAATAACGGGGTGGCCGTATTAAGCGGTGTTCCACTGTAATTAAATTGTAGGGTGGAGGGAGGGCCGGGCGCAGTAGTCCAGCTCTTAATATACCTCTTTAGCTTCGTTGTTCGTTGCGACACATTTCCGACCATGTGATGCCACAATTGGGAGTTTGGTCATAAAGGTCTCAAGGGAATGTCATTTGATCTAAAATGTGCAATTTGCTTACGAAGCAAAAGAAGTCTATTGGATCGTGTATCGAGGAAGAAGAATAGAAAGAAGTCTTGTCGAACAGCCTATTTGCTTTCCCCTCCCACCCTCCCTCTTTTTCATCTAGAGTCTCACTTTGTCCTTGGTCTCTCCGGATCTATTTCCATTGTTCCGCCAATCAGACAATGGCGGCCAGTTTGGGCGTTTCAAAACATCTCGAAGGTCGGCTATTAAAAGAAGTTTTCTACCCTTAATATAAAACTAAGAAAGATGAAGTTCGAACCTCAATTTAGACATATATCATTAGTTACTTTCATTGATGAAGGAAGGTAGTATAGCTAACCTAAGTGGATATGAAGTATATATTCAAGATAATTGGCAATGTTTTCGTTTTCAGTTTAGATAAAGAGAAAGTGAAATTCATCTTTTTAGACACAGGATGTTATTATGCTTTAGTGTTTTCTTTGCACGATTTCGTAAACCGTCTACACCGACAACCCCTAAGGGGGAAAATGACAAAACAAACATATAGATGCATTGAAATGTTGATTTTATTCATTCACTTTTTCTCTTGACAATTACATTTAGATTTTCTTCCTTTCTTAAAAAAAGAAAAGGGACGAAAAAATTCTACTATGCAATGAAAATCACTATTTGTTTAAGTTACGTAAATCCTACTTTTATAAGCAAGTATTTTTTTGCTATAAAAAAATCGTTCGATAGAATATATTAGTTTGTTTATTTTCAAAGTTCTAGAAAATAGTATAGACAAATCATCAATTTTCATCCTATGATACAATTTCCAATATAGCCGCATCGATGTCTTTCACCTTGCTTTACTGTTGGTGTTCTGTTGTTTCAGCTTCCTATACCATGATGGAGGCTCTTGTTTTGTCTACGGTTAAATAATAAAGAATTGTTTGTCATCGTCTACAGTTTGGTCAATGGGTTACTGTAAATCATAAAGAAGTGTTTGTGGTCGCCTAACGACTTCAGTGTGCAGTGGCGTAGCGACGGGGATCGGAGGGAGGGGGGCAAAATGTTTTACTGCAGCTGTGAAGATTGCGGGAAACTTTAAAGATGAAGTGCTTCCGAGTGTGTTTTGGCGGGAAAATGGTACATTGCCCTCCCCTTTGACCGAGACCTCGCTACGCCATCGTTACGCCCCATCAACAAACTAAACATTACATCTACAAAACCTTAAAAATTTAGTACATATTTGCTTAGAATTGATTTTTCTGTTCTGTTCTTCCTTTTTTAATTATGATATAAGGAATCCAAAAAACCTTTTCGCAAAATGAAAAAGTAAAAATAATTTAATTAAAATACTGATTCGCCTTTCAGCATATTGAGAACGCGTAACCTCTAACTCAAAAGTTGGCGGCCTACATTAAAGGCRAAACTAGTTTCTGTAAAGAATCTCGATTTTGAATGCGTAAAAGATTGTTTCAAARGTTTAGAACCTTGTTTCATGAAATTAACTAAATTTTTTGGAAAACAAACAAAGGAAATATCAGTGAATTTTTTAATAATTCCTTCCGTTTTTAGTTAGGTATAATAATAATTATAATATACTGATAAAATTACTTCCATTGTGCTGTTTTTTGTTTTCGAGTTATAGTCTATTATGAACTATTTTGTATCTGAAGCTTAGTTTCGGCCATTTTTCATTTCAAATGAACTTGTCAAGATGATAATATTCATATTTTCATGTTATCGAAAATTTTCTTTCTTTAACGTAATTTATAAATCAGTTCTTTTCGTTCAGAGGCAACGAAAATTGCGAGAGACGTTGCAAGCAAATTTACAAACGTAGACAGACCTGCGTGTGTACACCAAAGACAGTGTTATATAATTAGAAAGAATGTTTGTAAAGTTTTTGTTGCCCGCTTCCGCTGTATCCTTAGAGGGAAACCAAAAGCCATGAGAGCAAATAACCAAAAGGAAAAAGTATATTTTTATCTTTACTTACAAAAATAGTAGGTTTTGGAGCAGTGACATGAATATCTGAAGACTGAGCTGAAGTTCTATCTCTACTGAACGGGCCATGAACAGAAGTAGAAGTACGTGTTGTTTGGGAAGGATTTAAACCAAGAACGACTTGCTTTATGACTGACATCTCCTGCACAAAAGGAAAATCAAAGACAAAATGAAACGATGTAAACAAAACCCAAAAAACTATACTGAACAGACACGCCAAAAAGCGCGGGAAAGAGCGCGGGAAAATGTTACGGGCGGACTTCCTTTGTTGTGTGAGTGTGTTTTCTCTCTCTTTCTCTCTCTCTCTCTCTCTCTGGTCATTTTTCGGCTTTTACTTCTGTCTACGAGACTTCCTTCGGTTAAAGTAGATTGTGAGGCTGCTATTGACTTAATGTTTTCAACTTTGGATTTATTGCACTTATTTCTGCCTTTTACGAGCACCATTCAAGTATTACTGATATCATACCAGGTGATCTCTGATCAAGCGGTCTATTGAAAAAACATGGCGACCGAAGTCAGAAAAAGTTTCTCTGAAACTTTGCTTTCCTAGCTACGTTATGGACTAGCAATACATTTAAAATTCTACCTATACTTATAACGAATACCTATGGGTCAAATGGTGCGTTGTGGGTTCAATTCTTTTACGAAATTATCGTGAAATGATAGCTCTTTGTTCGCCGATAAACAACTGAAACTAGGACTGCCTGATCAACTATAACAATCCTTTGCACGCGTTCCCCGAGATCACCTGGTAGCTGTTAGGAAATATAACCTTAGCTACCTGTGATTTTCTTACTTACTTCTCTCTGGTTGAGTAAACGTTCTAAATCCGCTGCCATGCCATTTTTCGTTCTATTCAGTTCTTCATTCTGTTGCTTCAATTTTCTGTATTAAAGATTTACTTATTAATATCTTTTATTGAAAGTTAGTAGCAATAATAATAGCAATAAAACAAAGAAAAAACCGGGGGTAAAATAGTAGGGAGTACCTGTAATCATCTTGGAGAAGTGAAAGCTGCTTTTCAAGGGATTGATTTTGGTCATCGCGAGTCTTGATGCTTTCTATTAAATAGTTATAAGGTTGCTGTGCTTCATTCAGTAATGACGTTGCACTATGGAGCTACAATGAGAAATAGAACGTAAATATAAAAAAACGTATTTTTTTACAATTTCTTTTCTTCCGTCCTCCGATGAATTCCCTAGGATTTTTTTTCCTTCCTTTTTTCTTCTTTTCCTTCCCTTCTGTCTTTCTTCCTTCCCTTTCATTTGCCTGCTTTCCTTTCTTTCTTCAGGAGTCAAGATTGCCAATTATAACAAATATGTTTTTAAGTTAGCTGGAAGTTAAATAGTGAAAAAAGGAAGCATTGTGTCCTGTGAAACGGTTAACGATAACTGAAAGGCAGGAAAACAAACAGATACAATTAAACTAACTAATGTAGCTCATTGATAAACATACCTCTTCAGCGAGCTGATCTTTCTTTTGGGACTCTCTGTCCAGTTCATTTCTAAGAGAAGTATTTGCTCGCTCGAGTTGCAGCACTCGTCTTGCAAGATGTACGCTGCAAAAGGAAGGACTGATTTTTCAATACTTCGACAAATATCGATTTAGAGAATAATGCTTGCTACCATGATACTCCTTTCTCTCAGGGTATATCCTGCGCTACGTCGCTCGCTCATCTAAATCCAAGAACTCGATGGGCCAAGAGGCAAGAGCCGAATGGAATAACTAATAATTTTAAAATATTCTCCGGTTAAAGAAAGTACCATAATTTTTTTTTTCCTTTTTCAAACAAAAATACCACACTACTAATTTTTGGCCCGTCGATTTTGAACGCATGCGCAAAGTTCAGTTAAAGGTCTACTGATATGAAAATCGTTTCTCACGGTATAAAAGAAAAATGAAAAATAAAATAAAATGATAATAATAATAAATAATAATAATAATAATAATAATAATAATAAAAGAATCTGCACTTCAACGAACAGGGCCCGGTTGTACGAAGCCTGGATAGCTCTATCCAACGGATAAAGCCTTATCCAGTGGATAAGCCGATGCTGTAATCCGATAAATTTATGCAGTGGATAAGATTTATCTGTCGCATAGCGCTATCCACCCTTCGTACAACCGGGCCCTGTAGTGTACCACGTGACCTGAATGATTCATAGTTTGCGCGTCCCGGTATTCGAGAATATTCAATTTGATTGATTAAGAAGAGATCTCTCTTCACGAATGCCCGACGCTTCTTAATGCACTGTCTCTTCTATACCTCTGTTGCATTCTTCTTTTGGTTGTGCTTGGTACATTTGCACCGTATCCATAAGCGAAAAGAACTCTTTCTGCTTCAACTTCATTGTCAACTGAAAAGAAATCCCGATATCATATGAATAAACAGTTAATTAGGGTTTGTCCTGTCCTATTAGACTTCGAGCGGTCCCA